GATTAACACTTAGCTGGCATGGCTTAGCCTTTCCATTCCATCCTAGTTATACAACTACTGGCTTGAAAATTACATCAGAAATCTAGTCCTGCTGTTTGCAAATGCCTGTATTCTACTCTAACATAGCAGCCAGCCCTCTGAGGAGAGCCTCACTACTGATACAAGTGAGCATATTTATTTATTGAATAGTTAAACTGGGTTTAGATAATGACAAAACCCTTTAATAGTGCTAGAATAGAACCATAATCACCTCAAATTAGTCCTCAGGCCTGCCTGCCATGTAGCATCACTGCATGATTTAAATAGGAAAGACATCCACAGGTCTTTGCCCCTATGAACCCCAACGATTAATGAGGATGATCACCATTTTGGCCAGGCTATGAGAGGGCTGGAGGGAGGAAAAAAGGGAATACAGAAAGAGTAAAGCAGAACAAAGAACATACACTCTTTCAAAAAGCAAGAGGACACACTTCTGTTCTGTTGCTGTGTCCTCACTGATTCTTATCCTCAGTGACTGAGTGACATCTCAGAAATGCGAGCTCTATTTCAGAAATGCAACTAATCTCAGTTGTGACTGAGAGAGTGATGCTCTAGCTCCTGCCTGGATCACCTTGCTAGTCTTCACAGTCCCCCTCCCTTTGAGCTCAAAAAAAAGACATATCCTTCTTTTGGCACAGTTCTATCGCAACCTTTTTTCACATGATAAATGTTTCTTCTAGCAGCAAATGATAGTTTACCAAAGGACTGGAAACAAAAAGTAAGCAGCAAATGTTTGTGTATGTAGCTCTGAATCCAACTCAGTAAACAATAATCCACAACCTTAATTTTCCAAAGTGGAGGGAATAAGATCTTGTCTAGATCTGGACTTCATTAAAGCCTATCAGGGATTTTTTTTGAGGTAGGCGTTMATGATTAAAACTACAATAAAAAAACGCACATTCATCTCCAAATACAACAATTTTGCRTATGCCAAGTGCTGTGCACTGCGTACTGTTCACAAAGAGAAAAAACAAACAAACAAAATAATGAATAATGAGACATCATTAGAAGGATTAAGTTTATCTAGAAAGGACAAAAGGCCAATATTCTAGGGGAAAAAATTGTCACTTAAGGTTTTCACCTTTGTCACAAAGAATTTATCAAATTGATTTGATCAGGGAGCAGAACCTTAAGGTGATACTGAATTTTGTGACTTAACAGTAATTCTGAAAAGAGTTCACTATCAAAAGGCTTGATAAATGTCATCTATTTCTTATATCTTTATATAGACGAACATGTTGAGTGTTCTGCTGAAGATAGAGCATGCCGCTCTGGCTTGACAGATGGAAAATGCCTCCAAATGTTGTTGCTTTTGAAGTCTCATAAAATTAGCATTCATGAAAAGTTTCTTCCAGAAATTAAAATCATGTTCTTCAGCTCTTGAACAAGATCAGGAATATTTTACTATATGGGTAAGCAAAAAGAGTTAAGCTTTCATATTCCATTTCAGCCTTAAGGGTCTTCTTCAGGAATTTCTCTCAGGAAAAGCTGATTACACTTCTAATTTCAATGTCATTAGCTACTATTTTGTCTGCTTGCAATATCCCTTTTGGCTAAATCAACACTCTGATGCTATATAGGTATTCTTCAATTATGCTAAACTATCATTTTGAAATATGTATCAATTTAAAGTGACACAATAATTCCACATTCACTCACTCTTTAATTTGAATCGCTGGTAATACAATGTGGGTTCAGTAGACAACATACTGTCTATTAGCAGTTTTATACTGAATCACTCCTAGAATCTATCATTTTAATATTTAGTTAATGAAACTCCATATGACCTCTCTTAACACTGCATGTATTGCCTTCTCCTGCCTGATATAACTGTATAGAAACAAATTTTATTTAGTACATAAAGCCTGTATACTTCTTGCACATAAATATGTTTATAATTGTGTGAGATTAAACCCTATAGGATTAAAAATAGAATACTAGTATTTAATTTATATATGCTTAGTTATTTTTTGTGAATGACAAGCACATATTTTTAGTAGAAAAGTAAGGGTATGTGGCATAAGAGAAGGGCAAGTTCATTTGGAACAGGCAAGGAGAAAGGCAGAATTCCTGGATTCTGTTTTCCATGGGATTGCAACAAACAGCTGCCCACATATTGGGCTGAATGCTAGAAACAAGAAAACAAAAAGAACACTTTTTTGTGCCAATCAGATCATTTTTTCTGCCTCATGGTAATAAATACAGTCTAGACATGAAAGATCCAGAGAAAGACACAAGACAGTTCCTAAGGATCTTAGGTCATGAATAATTTCAGAACATATTCCCTGTATGTACTTATTAAGTAATGTTAAACTACTGCTATCCCTAAACTTCCTTGGCCCAATGAAGAACAATCAAACAAAAAGCTCAAAATCACCAAAACAAATATTTTCCAAGCCCAAACTCACCTCATAAACATATCTTGGCCCAACTAAACAGAAGATCCTAAACCAAAATATTTCCTTAACATAAAGGGAATATTTCCCACATTAAAAATGACCCAAGAGGTCACAGAGAAATAGCTATATATGTGAGCACAAGAAACCAACTCCCAGCTTTCACTAACTGCTCCAAGTATTTGGGGCCAGTCCATACTTATGATTCATTTATTCATCTCTGTAAAAAAAGGCAAATGCAAGTGCAACCATACTCAGCACTCCAAGTTAATCTCTTGGAGATTTGCTTTCATGACCCCAGATTACACCACTGGATAAAACCTTGTGTAGTTAGATACACATCTTTCAAGAAAACATGAATTTTGCAAGCTTTCCTCAAAGCAGAAAGCCGCAAAGAGCATTCAAATCACTGTACCATGCAATTAAACGCTCAGAAAATATAAGACAATACCTCATAAAGAAAAACTTAGAAATACCAAAGACTAGGTGGTCAGATCAAAACTGATGGCATGGTAGAGGAAATATTACTCAGTATTTCCTCAGATATCTTGAAAGGCATTTCATTATTCATTACATTAAACAAGAAAGTCAATAAGACACATCCGTCAATACCCAAACTATTAGCTCATGGCTGGATGATTATATATTGGATTGAATGTAGAGAAATGGTGGGTGTTGCTCTACCTAGACACTGATTTCACTGTCTCATCAAGACAGACAACTTAACAGGTTCTAGCCTGAGTATTCTTGAAATGTGTGAGATGAAGAGTGGAGGATAAAACTGAAATAATTCTTAATTCTCAAGCAAACCCCCTTTTTCCTAAAGTGCCAATTCTATAGCATCATTCTTCCATTCACAGCTCATGACCACTGGCTAAGAGCACATCATCTATTGACATGTTTTCCAACAATATTTCCCAATTACTAAGCCATGTATGAAAGACAATTTTTCAAGTAAAAAACTTTGGGGATTTTCTTTTCTTTTCATCAAAAATCAATGTACAGGAAATTGCTCAAATTTGTCAGAGCAACCATTTCTGTTGCTGCTTAATCATTAAATCTAGTCTGCAAGACAGCCTTTTTTTTTTTCCTCCAAGAAATCAGCTCTCTTATCTTACAGACTAGGTTGGCAGAATTATTTCCCTTGTATTGGTGTCTCTCTTTTTGTCTAAATAACTTGTAAGACCATGGGAACAGGCTGAAGGAAAGCAATGTGGTGATTTCTAAGAAACTAGAGATGGTAAAGATCAAACCACCACACACTTTGAGACCAAAAGAAATAAGGAAATGGCTGAGGAAAATATGGTTAAGCTAAAAAAGAGAGAGAACCTAAAACTGAAGGAGGGATCTCTTTCACTTGCTTAAGGAGAAAGTGATCTTAAAGCTACAAGGAACTTGGAAAAAATAGTGTGACATTAATTAGAGGCTGATATCCTTCAAACATGATCCAGAAAATGTTCCATACATCATCAAATACATACATATATACACACACATATACACACTTTTTTCTTGATGTACTGGTATGTTTCCAATGTAAGTGGTTCCTTCCTCTCCTCTCCTTTTTCTTTTTACCTTCTTCAACCACAAATTTCCTAAATTCCTGACCAGTTACCTAAGTCAAAGAGCAAAACATGAGAAAAGAAACAAAAACTAGCAGCATTTTCCCCCTTCAAATGAAAAAAAAAAAAAAAAAAAAAACCACCAGAGCTACATCCAATACCTCTACAGAGCTGAGGGGCAACACCCTAAGCAGACAGGGCTCTTTAATTCCTGTTAGCCAAGCTCGGCAGAACTAGTTGCAAATTTTGTAAGCCTGATTAATGACCAGCGATTAGCATTATGCAGGTGGACTGCGCTTCCCTGAAATATTCAGCGTCTCCTATCAGTCCYGCACACCGCAGCATTAATGGGATCGAGATGCAACAATAATAGTTTCCATGACAATGCAGTACATGCACTCAGCAGCTCCTCCCTGGGTAAACAGTAATCCTTCAGAAAAACAAGAAGGTCATTACAGCAACTTGTCAAATCAATGCAGAGAGTGTCTGAGCCGATTAAGGCATCTTCTCTCAGCTCTGACATGGTGTCAATAGTACTGGGCCACTAGTGCTCAGTCAGATGACTGAAGAGAAATGCCCATCAGTCAGGGAGCTGAGGTGGACTAATGATTCCCTGTGCTGCCTATTAGAACTACATGACAACTCAATCCTGTTTGTTTAAAAAAAAAAAAAAAAAAAAGAAAGAAAAAAAAAGAAAAAAAAAGTGACCTTGTTGCTTTGTTTGAAGCTGAATTAAATTGACAACAGCAGCTAATCTTTACCTAGGGCGATTAACAGAATTAAAGTACAACAACAAAGGCACACAAGGTTTCATTCTTTATATTCTTAGTTTGATAATGTTTGCAAATCTACTGAGATCTGCTCTTTATAGTATCTTGTAAATATATTTCAAGTCGAACTATGTTTGAATGGATCTGAATTAACATATTTGGAACAGGAGACTGAGTAAATGTACAGAGACATATACAGTATAAATATAGTAATAACCAGACAGTGGTTAAAAAAAAAAAATCAAAACAAGACAATGATACATATTTTTCTATACAAACATTGCTTTAAACTTGCTCTGGATAGACAGCTTTAGGTATGAATCTACAGTTTACTTTTCCTGTGGTTTCATTCTATGTTTGAAGTTGGAACACAGAATGCAATTATCATGAAAATGTTTAACAAATACTCAATATAAACCAAATACATACAAGCACGTAGGTGTACATGCTCTTCACTTGAGGCCATTCTCAGCTGATGAGGCTGATGAAAGTCTTCACGTCCACATCATGCTTCTCTGCAGTTTATCAGTTTACATTACTGACCTACTCAATCAACAGAAAGACAGAAGTTACAAGAAGAGGGAAAAAAAGAAACCCTGGTAGAATATTTTATGTATGTGAATGGGAAAGTCCAAGTGGCTAATAAAACTAAGAGATGACTATTCCACTTCAGTTATTCCACTCTTCAGATATTGCTTTAAAAGTGCACTTCCATACACAAATTTGGCAATAAAGCTGAGTTTAATCTAGCTAGTTAGGTTTCTGAGWAAAAAAATGCCATACCACTGAGCCTTTGTAGTGAGTTGAAAATGAGGAGTAAGAAATGTGCAAATGCCGCAAGTTTTTTTCACAGAAGAGTCAAAATTCAGGAAGATGAAGTTATCTGATATGGGTGGACTTTGAAACAAGTCCTCATGCTAACAGTTATTTATGTCTTATATACATAATATATATATATATATTTCACATGGTGTGAATGAGAACACAGTAGGTTTCAAATCCACCAAAAAGCTACCATAAATATATGATACAAAGCCTGTACAAAACCTGCAGCAGAGCAGCAAGCATGATGAGGACAAAAGGGATTTATGTTTACCAAGGAGTAAGTCACCGGGAGGACTAAATGGCTCAAGGGACTGGTGCTGAGTTTGAAAGCTTTTCACCTCTTAGTATCAGGCTCAAATCTAGCCCCAAGCTGTAACTATTGAAGGTCATTATCATCTAGTAGCTGTTCAATATTGCGAAAAGAGCACACCTCTCGCTGGACAGGGAGTCACATTTCAAAGGCAGCAGCATTTCTGAGGTTCATTAGGACCCATAATTTTGGTTTCAGCATGGAGCACTTTATCAACTGCTGAGAATCGCGCTCTCCAGAGGCGGACAGATCAGACGGGGAAAGTTTGCAGTGCTGCCACAGCGCCGGCATCGCTGCACATGACGGAGGACTTTTATCTCTGCGCCTCAATTCTAGCAGGCTTTGAACTGTAACTGGACAAATTAGAAAACGTAGAATACATTTAAATAGCTCAGTGCTTGATTCTGGTTCTACTCAAGAGGCAGTGAGGGCTTGATAAACAGTTGCTCACTCACACAATCTCAGATAGGAAAAGACAAGATTTTAACAATGAATTCCCCATCACATTTACAGTGAGAGCAAGCCTCAGATGGAATATAAGCAGAATGTTAGACTGCCTTCCCAGATTCCCCTTCCCTGCTCTAAATAGTTCATTAATGGCATATCATATACGGTCGTATTTTCAGTGCTTACTCTAATTCTTTTACCATTAGATTTTGTGATGTGTGCTTCCCTATACTGCTTGACAATTGTGTTATTACCTTGGTTACTTTACATTGCACAAAAGGTTCACTTCAGTGCTCAAGATTTGACATAATTGTGTAGAACATACACATGAGTAAACCTGTGCAATTGGCTTTCAAGCAAACAAAAAGATTTAGATTTCCTGTACAAATTTACCATTGTAGCATAAAATTTCCCCTAATATGAGTAATCATATCTTATTATTTTGATATATACTACCTAAATTCTTTCATAAAAGATTCTGTAGATAGAGACATATGTTTTTTGGTTTTTTTTTTTTTGTTTGTTTTTTGTTTTCAGATATACTGTCCATGCTGTTCCAGCACGAAGTTTGACAAAGTACAGCTAAAACTAGTCCCCACCTCCCTGTCGGCAGCCTACGTAATAAGTACTACATCCATACAACCCAATAGCAAGAATTAAAAAGTGTTAAGGTCTCTCACTGGGAAATGGTTTAATTGTTGGTTGTTAATCAACCTGGCCATGCTCAACTAATCTCAAATTACTTTCTAATCTGACAGCACATGCACATGCATGAGAAAGAACTGGGGAAAGATAGGATTTTATGTATTAATTCTGAAGCATAACTAACAGCTCTCATTTCAGATGATGATTGAAACACCACTTGAAGTTAGCCAAAAAAATAATGAGGCAAAATGATACATTTCTAAATGCAAATCAGAGCTGACATGATGGAAGATCATGCTGAAAGAAAAAGAATACAAACATACAAACTAAAATTGCAGTAACTGAAAAAACATGTTTTTTTTTTTTTTTAAGTGATATTTAGCTACTAACTTTTAGCTCCTAGAAAACAGAAAGTTGTGTATATTGCACTATGTGGATCTTAAAAAACAATAAATATAAAATTTTACTAGATTCCTAACAATCATATAGAACATCAACATTGAGTAATTCCCTGATTGTTAAACTCTTCTAGTTCATACTAGTCAGTGATGACAATTACCATCTCTATCAGGAAATGGTAACTGAGGTTGCCTGTGCATAGTGTCCCCACCAAATAGAATGCTCTTGCCAACTAGACAAATTAGCGAGAAAAGAAATAGACATTCCCTGACACTTGGGAATCAGCAAAGTTTATAGTACTAATAAACTATCTGATCTTAGATCAAACTGAAAAACAAAGGAAGCTTTAAAGAGTGCCTGTTGGAGAAGAACCTTTTGAACAATGAATCTCTTGGCACAATGATTTTTATATTCTTATTTAGACCTCTTGTTCAAGCAGTACTGGTACCTGCAGAGCAAAATCCCTCCAAGTTAGAATGTTTCAGGAATGGCATTCTGTCTTACCAGAGGCCATGGAGAGAAAGCTAAAAAGAAAGGTGTACCAGAAAGAAGTCTCTGTTATGTCCAAAGCATAGCTTTGTGTCTCTCAGCTTCCAGCTTTACTTAGGGGAGGAACTCATGAGACAGTAAAATCATTTGTGAGGAACTGTGGTCTTACCTCATGGACATTTGGAATCAGCTTTCATGACCACCATTAGAAGTCCAGCCTGCTCTTCACAGACTCCCCATACAGAAGGAAAGAAAAYTGTATCTCAATAACTAGCTCTTACTATAAAGATATTATGAGTTGAACAGTCTGACTATGATGCAAAGCAAGTAGTATATCTGGTTTAGAATAGTGTTCCAAGTTCTACTTGGGACCAAGTCTCCTACTGATAAAGGACTAACACACCCATCTAACAAACAGAGAAAAAAAAAAAAAGAAAAAGTGAACAGGAACTCATAATAATTAATGACAAAAAAAAGGATAGTTCCAGGGAATTTTGTAAAAAGTCAGACCTCAAAGGGTTGAGGGAACTTACCAGATAGGCTAGTTTCATGACTTCTTTAGAGGACAAATTCAGATACAAGGATAAGGTCCTTCCCTGGAAATAGAAGTTAAGCTACATTATATAGTGAAAAACATTGCTGGAAATGAATATTAACCTATGATCTTACGAAAAGTGATGACAAGATGAACACTTGACACTCATAAATTATCTTCAGGCTGTTTTACGCACTGAAGTAAGAAGAGCTTTTTTAAAAGAGACTCAAATTTCTGCAAATCTTCAACAGCTATGTTAAAATCAGTGAAATGATTACAAATTGGTACTGACAAATTTATTTTATCTGTTATGTGTATGTACTAGAAAGTATTTTAGTATGTTAAAAATGAACTAAAAATGAAATCATTATGTGGCAAGCACTTTCTGAACAAGTTATCTCAAGAGGCTGTCGTACAATTTTTTCTCTCCATAATAAATGCTCATGAGCTCCCATAGGATATGATGTAACAGACAAGAGCATTCATGTCCATGAAATCTGTAACCCATTGGGAATCTTAACAGAGGACTTGCTAAGCATCAGCAAGGTTTTGAATCACTGAAATTAAGTAACCTACTTCTCTCCTTGCGTTCTACCACTGTTACTGAGGTCAACAGCAACACTGGAGTCCCTAAATACAAATGGCAGGGGATGTGGACAGGAAATTCTCAGGGAAGGCCCTTCATCCCTGGAATTCATGTCTTGCTCTGGGAGGGTGCAGGACAATTGATAATCAGGGCCCCCTGAACAAGGCCCATTCACTGATGCTTCCCTTTGGAACTTTAGAGAAGTGTCTTAATACTCTATTGGGTCTAGTTAATTACTTAAAAATCCTAAATTGAACAACAACCAAGTTCTGATCTATCTATACTTTTAAACTTAGCATACATAGTTAGAAGCATGAAGGACTTGTTTTTAATTCATCAAAAAAAAACTGAGAGAAGTGGTATATCGAAGAGCTGAGTTCAAGGTTGACGCAAAACACAGCAGACACAAGTTTACATCCATAMTGTGAAAAGCAAATAAAATGCACAGTAATGAGGGGTAATTTGGAGAATAATCAAAGTAATATTGTAATGACTACAACCAGCATATCATGCCTGAAGGGAAATATCCTGAAGGGATATCTTGCCTAAAGGGATATGGTCTATATCACAAAAGCTTGGAGCCATTGAAACCCCCAGAGAAAGACGATAATGGCCGTACAAAAAGTATAATTTATTTACAATTTGAGGAAGGCTTCCATCAAGTCCCTAATGACAGGCTAACCAGTTACATTAAAAGCTGTGTTGATTCTGATACAGAAGTCAATAGATTAAGCAAAAAGGATCTGTAATACAAAGAGAAAATGGATGCTGCTTACAAGTCAAGAAGAAAAATAAATCCAGGCAACAACACAGACCTTTTAAAAATATAACATTAAAGAGTTCTCAACGGCTCTGCCTCTGACAAGGCACAATATAGTTATGTAAATAAGGCCACTTAAAAATAGTTTTTTAAAAAATCTTGTTTCCTCATATATGATCTCATGACAGTAGAAAGACTGTTCTGACTACTCATCAGAAAGCATGATCCGACGTGAATCTAATAGCTCCATTATCTTGGAGCTATTCAGAGACCATTACAGAGATCCATCTATATGTTTCTCTTAACATTTTATTCTCACTCATTCTTTGCTTGTATTTCTAACTGTTATATGTGGGAAAAGGAAACTGAAGGAAATGAAGCCTTTTGGCTATTCTGTCACTGTCTCTGAACAAATTTAGACATCTACTAATAAATACATGAGTAAGGGAAAATAAGAAGAAATTAAAAGATTACTGAAAAAAAGTCTCAGTGTACCACATGTACATAAAGAATCATAAACACCAAACCCAAAATTAAAAGATCACTACAATACTTAAAATAAAACTATCTCATGTTTGAAGAACATTGTTAGAGTGCATATTCACTTCTGTTTGTTTCCTGACACCCTTCTGCAACACCCAATACCYGCAAAGCCCATTTCTCTGACTACAAACAATTCTGTTTGTTTCTCCAAATTAAGCATTTGCATAATTTAAAACCTTGACCTACTCTCACAGTGGGCTTAATTCTGTATTAGTACATATTTTTTTTCCATTTTTTCTGTGTTCAAACATCTATCATAAGATGGAAATACATAAGAAAAAAACAGCTTCAAGTATTGTGGAATTATATTGTTTTCACTATATAATAATCTTTAAGGCCAAGAAGGTGTCTACACATGAGAAAATCTTGTGCAGGATTAAGTGCTGGGAGTGCAGGATTAAAGGAATAATTGCTCTGCTACAGACCAGTAAGTTCCTTGAAGGAAAGAGTGGGTTTGAAATCATGTCTCTCCTATTGGGGATGCATATCCTAATTGCTAGTGCATCACTTTAAAGACAAGCTTTTCCTGTCTAGTCCGGGAGGAGTCCAGATCCTTTGGAGATCTGTATCACTCACTCCCCTCTCCTCTACTTCCCAGAGTCTTGATTTCCCATTCAGTGGAGTTTTCACTCTAGATGTGATTATGAGACCCTGACTCTTCCCATGCATTCAATAAGGAATTTAGAGACCCCACTTACAGCTGTCAATACCAGTTTAGGCATCAGGCAGCTAAGGAGCAATCAATAACTGTGTCACAGAGCCCCAAACTGTGATTTTAGACTAGTCACTCAAAAATATGTCCAGCGCTTGTAAACTAAACTCAGAGTATCCAAATATCCACATCTTTATTTTTATTTAGACTCTATTTTTTTTAGAGTTGGTGTAGAGAGAGAAAATGTCAAAGGAATAGGATGGTTTGACAAACAGAAAATTGTGGGTGCATACATAGCTGTAGCTGTAGTAACTGGTCTCTGTGAGGAAAGTCTCACTGTATCCTATGTTACTTTTTCCAAGAAGGTTATTAGTTGCAAAATACAGCAATAGAGCATCAATTGTGGTTTTCAAAGGAAAAAGCTGTAAAATAAGGCAGAAGAGCTGCAGGTAAATAAACAAGCTGAAAAAATAACACCCCAAATTTTAAATTCAGGAAAAGGAGAGATGAGCAGGCATGAAAGAGATTGGAGCTTCAGAGAAAAGAGATGTAGATGAAATATTGACTTTTCATGGTAGTAGAAAGAGACATAACACAAACAGATAGTCTAGGAAACCTGTAAGCATTCATAAGGACTTCTTTACTCATGTGAATGTACTGTCTGAGAGCAGTAAGGCACCAGGAAACAAGGGAGACATTTATCTGAAACTACAAAAAGYGAGAATAAGAAATACTGTAATCCTGAACATCCATCAGAGCATAATTGTTGTTTTCCATTTAGTGGCAAAGTAAGACTTTTGAAGGGCTGCTGGAAGGATCACCGCTTCACAAGGACATTTCTGATGATGAGGGATGGTCCTGGTGTCCTAGCAAGAAGCTTTAATATCTTTTTTCTCCCCTTGCCTTCCTCCCTTGCCATGCCACGCTGCCAGTTATAAAAGCCTGGTGAAATCCCCCGAGGTTATAGAGAAAGCACATTAGGCATAAGGAGGGCAAGGCAGACTCGGGCTTTGGCAGTTTGTGAGGACTGATGAGGAGCAGCAGCAAGCTCCCTTGGGGGACGGAGAGAAATGCATTCCCCCTTCCCAGAGCTATTGCGGCTCTGCAAGAATCGACTAAACCGAGTTACAAATTCACCACGTTGGCGTGTGATTGACTAATATTCACCTGCGGWTGGGCAACAGAGATCCCCATTAAAAATAAAAGGTTTCACACCTGTGGCTTACAGTAATTGTATACAGCCCCTTACAAACTTCTGCTGAAATCAAACAGACTTTTAAAACTCTAGCCTAATGAAAAGACAATGGAATTTTCCTTTTATAGTAAAATAAAGAAACAACACCTAAAGTTGGAAGCATCCGATTTAAGTGTTAGGCATGCTGACTTTGATGCATGTCTGGAACTGAAATTTCATTAGGAAAAGGACATGAAATTAGAAGGGCTCTCTCCTTAAGTACTGAAAATTGTACAAAGCAAAATACCTGCTCAGTCTAGGTATGTTTTCTCAACAAGCACAAGAAAGGTGTTTAAAAAGAATACAAGGCACCACCAYTAAAACCTGGCTTAAACAAAAACACTGAATTAGCTCTGGAAAACAAACAAACAAAAACGTGAAATGGCTGTTGACCCACAGAAGACCCACACAATTATACACTCACTTTAAAACTTCTAGTTGCACAGATTCCTCTCACAACATAGTTATGAAATCCTCATATTCCTTTCTCATGAACAGTAGCCACGATGTTTCTAGTATCATGTAAGATCTAAAATGGATATTTTGTTCAATTCATTATATATCAAGAGTTCAAGTTTCCACTTAATTGTTCCACTTAATCATTTCTACCAAAGTCTTTGTATGTCCTACACCATTACCACAGCTAGTTCACCTGTGGCAAATTAAAAGGTTTTCGGTGTGTCATTATAAATACTAGAAATGAAACTTCTTATAAGCAAAGGGAAGTGTAGAAATCAAGACCATTTTTCTTTCAGTCCTTCTGACTAAGAGGAATTTCAACCAACAAAAATTAGCCCTCTCTTTGACGGTATTAATGAACTAGTACTACCAATGATGCTATTTAGTTGAAAAGTGCTTCAGTGAACTATGAAAACAGCCTGGCAACCCATAATTAAGAAACAGAAAAATATACAAA